CTCTCCGAATTTGCACCTTTTGGGGTCTAATTTTTTGTAGCTCTATTTTATATCCTAAATAATTAATGGAATCCCCTCTTTGTATTTTTTCAGGAGCAATTTGTAATCCCCAGCAAGGCAAAATTTTCTTTACTTCTTCAAACATTCTTTCTAAAGTATCTGCATTTGAGTCAGCTAGTAAAATATCGTGCTCATCATGCTAAAAACATCTCTACCCAATATATTCAGCCCTCTGTGCAGAAAAAAAGAATGTTCATGCCTTTTAACCCAAAGCTGTAGCTTTTGCTATGACTCAAAGGCATGTGTCTACTCCAGCTGTTTTACAGACACCTGTTCGCTGCTCTTTCTACAATGTGGATTTCAGTACAGATCACAAACTGGTAATGTAAGCTTTAGGGAGTCAAGAAAGTCATAAGACTTGGATCCATCTCTCACAGGTCAAATGGACTCCAGATAAGAACTCCTGTTAATCAATGGCCTAAGCTCCCCTGCCTACTGCCTCTCCCTGAGGGGGACTCCAAATATAATAGTTTCCTTCAAGTCCTTTAACTTCTGTCCCTGTCTGTCTCTGACTTGGCAGAGTTCCACTCAGCTGGTGGACACCATCCAGAGATCAGCTGCGGACTGTAAACTGCCCCAAAGGCGATCTACACAACACCAGCTGCGTGTAAGTCCTACAAAACCAGAGAGCCCTGGCCTTGTGAAGATTGATGTAAACCAATCCAGTTGATGTGTTTGCTCCTTGTCTCTTCATATGGGTCAGCGTGATATCTTCTGATACCCAATTGCCCTACTCCCTTCCTGGCCTTTGACTAATCCAGACTTCCTGGGCTCTGCCAATGACATCCTAATTGTAGCTGAGAAGCAGTTACAGAAGAGAGTACACCACCCCTTGTCAACAAAATGCTGGAATGTTAGAGCCAAAGAAAACTCCCCCAAAGAAAATCTTCCTGACAGAAGGGACAAATATAGCTACATATAATGCCTATGCAACCCTGGCTGTCCTGGAACTCACTGTATAAACCAGGCTAGCCTAAAACTCACAGAGATCCTCCTGGGTGCTAAGATTAAAGGCATGTGTCACCACTGCCCGGCCAGTTTTTATTGTTGTTGTTTTAATTCTAAAGATTTACTTAAGTGTGATGTGTGATGTGTGTGTGTGTGTGTGTGTGTGTGTGTGTGTGTGTGTGTGTGTGTGTGTATAGGGGTAAGTGCATATGTGCACAGGTGTCTGTCAAGTCCAGAAGAGGGCTTCAGGTCCCCTTAGAGCTGGAGTTATAGGTGGTTATGAACTCTTTGATATGAGTGCTGGGAACTGAACTCAGGTCCTCTGCGAGAGCCATTGTACAGCCTCCTTGGTTTGTTTGAGACAATCTCTCACTGGCTTGATACTTGCAGATCAGGCTAGACTGGATGGCCAGTGAACAGGGGGCCTCCTGTGTCTGCCTCCACAGCGCTGGGATTTCCAGTGTGGTGGCAGGCTCTTTGACACAGGTTCTAAGGCTTGACCTCAGACTCTCACGTTCATACAGCAAGCGCCTGGCCTACTAAGCCTCCCACCAGCCCCTAAAGAATAATTTTAAATACACTTTTTCTAGAATTCATAAATAGTAACATATTTGACTCACATTTCAGCCATAAATGAAAACTCGTCACCGTGGTGACAAACGGATGGCATTATTGTTCATAGAAATAAAACAAAAAATAAGCCCATGTCACACATTGCATAAACAATAACCCTGATGATGCTGAAAGAAAACTATTTTTATACTGTTGGTTTTAAATTTTTTTTTGTGTGATAGTGGATTTGTGATTGTCTTCCTGAAATGGGATCTTGTTAGAAGCCCAGGCCTGGTACTAGCACTGTGTAGACCCAGATGGCCTCAGGCTCCTTTGTCTTGGCCTCTCCACGCTGGGATCACAGACCTGTGCCACCATGCCTGGCTTTTCTGACAGTTTGACAAAAGCAGAGAAAACCAACAACAAGATGACCTCGTCCTCTGTTACCTCTGTTATAATATTTCAGGACCCTGGTTTTCCCGGCCAGACGCGTTGAGGTGTGCCGCATCCTCTCTGTCCTCACCGTGTGCACTTGCCTCTGCGTGTGAGCCATGGCAGCATTCCAGACAGCTGCCGATGGAGGCGACTCACAGAAACTGCCTGGGTCAGCTCAAAATATTTTTAAAAGAGATGCAAATTGAGGTAGAGGGAAGAGAAAAAAAATCATCCTCTGACAAGCAGCCATATTTTGGGCTGATTTAGCTAAAGCTCCCACAGATGTGCTATCTGTCTTCTCTATTTAGTTTCCTGTGGATTTAAGAAAGCAGATTCGGGATACGGCTGTTGTTGCGCCCCTTGTAATA